TGGATTATCAACTTTACGCTTCAACTTTTGCCTTTCGCGATAATTTCTTTGAATTTCAGCCTTACTCTGTTTAAGTGTTGTTGATGATTCAACATTTCCTTTATTTATTTTATTTATTATTCTCGGGAAAGAAATTTCTTTCTTCATAGAGTTTTTAGAAAAGTTTGATTCTCCATACTTAAGTTGAATATCTTTTTCATTTAAAAGGCAATTCCAGTCATTCACAACTATGCAAGATCTACTATTAGAAAGTTGTTCAGAGGGAAATTCACTTAAACTATTGTTTTTGAACATTAACATTAAATGATTTCTTATATTACAATAATAGTAATTGACAGAATCAGGCATAATATTAAAAAATAACGATGTTGCGAATGCTATTGCATATATTCCACAAGCAAGACTGTTTAATGGTTGTTGATCAACAGTTGTGAAAACTACTGGTGGTTCAAAAGGATATAATCTAATTAAGTAAGCCCTTTGATCGTCATTTAAATATTTTTTATTAAGACTATCAAAAATGTAAAGGCTTTTTCCATCATAATAAGTACAAATCCAATGACCAGACTTATAATATCCACTAAAAAGTATTTGAATGTGCTGCTTATTTTTCTCGATTGGAACTATCAAATCAAGTGTTTGTAAACACAAAGTATTTTGCATATTATAAAAAAAATTTGATTGTCTTCCCAATAGCTTTTGAAATTCATACATATGATCATTATTTAGCATTGCTCCTTCAGTGACAACAATACTTAAATCATCAGTAGTCAAATTAACAGTTTCTCCTTTGTTAGACATTGTTCTTTTATTTTATAAAATTTACTTATATCAAGGAATTAAAAATTTAAAAATAGCAATATTACAGTAGAATTTTAAGATCAAGTTTTATACATTTAATTAAAAATATTATAATTTCCTTTTATTCAATGATATTACCAAATTTTGCCTCCTATAGAAAATACAAACAAATTTCCAATTTTGTCTCTTATCCAATATATAACCAATTTACTATTTTTCCTTTAATCCAATTTAACCAATTTCTAGCTTTCTTTTTATCCAATATAATTAATTTCCAATTTTGCTTTTTATCCAATATAACCAATTTTGACTTTTATCCAATATAACCAATTTACTATTTTTCCTTTAATCCAATTTAACCAATTTCCAGCATTCTTTTTATCCAATATAATTCATTTCCAATTTTGCTTTTTATCCAATATAACCAATTTTGCCTTTTATCCAATATAACCAATTTCCAGCTTTTATCCAATATAACCAATTTCTAATTTTTTATTTTATCCAATATTCCTGTTATACAATTCAACCAATTTTCAGCTTTTTATCCAATATAACCAATTTTGCCTTTTATCCAATAAAACCAATTTAACCAATTTCCAGCTTTTTATCCAATATAACCAATTTTGCCTTTTATCCAATATAACCAATATTTATCCAATATAACCAATTTTGCCTTTTATCCAATATAACTAATTTTGTCTTTTATCCAATAAAACCAATATAACCAATTTTGCCTTTTATCCAATAAAACCAATGTAACCAATTTTGCCTTTTATCCAATATAACCAATTTTGTCTTTTATCCAATAAAACCAATATAACCAATTTTGCCTTTTATCCAATAAAACCAATTTAACCAATTTCCAGCTTTTTATCCAATATAACCAATTTTGCCTTTTATCCAATATAACCAATATTTATCCAATATAACCAATTTTGCCTTTTATCCAATATAACCAATTTTGTCTTTTATCCAATAAAACCAATATAACCAATTTTGCCTTTTATCCAATAAAACCAATGTAACCAATTTTGCCTTTTATCCAATATAACCAATTTTGTCTTTTATCCAATAAAACCAATATAACCAATTTTGCCTTTTATCCAATAAAACCAATTTAACCAATTTCCAGCTTTTATCCAATATAACCAATTTTGCCTTTTATCCAATATAACCAATATTTATCCAATATAACCAATTTTGCCTTTTATCCAATATAACCAATTTTGTCTTTTATCCAATAAAACCAATATAACCAATTTTGCCTTTTATCCAATAAAACCAATGTAACCAATTTTGCCTTTTATCCAATATAACCAATTTAACCAATTTTGCTTTTTATCCAATATAACCAACTTCTAATTTTGCCTTTGGATTCCAATTACATACGATTTCCAAATTATAACAAATTTTTTAATTTATTAATAAACATAAAAAAAAAATTTTTTAACTTTATTAATTAACTTTGAAAACTAAACACAACTCAAATACATAATTATTTAAATGATTGAAAAAAATTAGAAAAAAGTATTTTAATGTATTTCTATTATTATTTAATATTCACTTATTTAATTATATTCACTAATACTTACTATTCACTAAATCACTATTTACTAATTCACGAAGTATTCACTGATAATTCACTTATTTAACTTTTTTATTCACTCACCTATAGTGAGTGAATTCCCAAAAAAATTGTTATACTTCAATTTCGTTGAAGACACGTAGAACGTGCTCCAAGGAAAATAATCGACGATATGATTTTTAAATTAAATTTTCGTTCTTATATTTAGGTGGTAGGCCCTAAACGTGAGTGTCCTCTTCGCACTCATAGATATATATATATATATATATATATATATATATATATATATATATATATATATAGGCCTGTATTCGACCCTAAGAAGGATTAAGAACCCTTAAACAATAGCCATTGTAATGGGGATTACCTCGGAGAACCCAGGTAATATTTTCTTTCTTCCTTCATCGCAAGGGAAATATAAAGAAAAGACTATTATATGTATATATATATAATATATATAGTAATAGAAACTCCAAAGGTAACGGTCTCGATAACGTCTGGATAACGGCGCCGATAACGCTTTCTCTGGTAACGGCTACCTTTCTTTCTTTCTCTAAAGGCAATGTCAATAAGAATGTCTCTCTTTACCTAATATGCATATCTGCTGATTTCATATAAGGATACATATAAGTAGCAGTCGTAGGAGTTTTTTTATTTTAATTTTTGTGGATTTGGCACCACATTTTGTGAAAAAATTTGACCCTGAAATCTTAACTTTTTTGTTCAATGTGGTGTCAAATCCACAAAAATTAAAATAAAAAATATCCTACGTACTCGACCGCTACATCCCAGGTAGAAATTGACTATAGGCACATTACTGGTTCAGTACGAAAAAATTTCAACCAGTATTGACTTTCATACTGGCCTATTAAGGAGCATTCAGACCTCTGCAGGCTGTCTGGCTGCGCAGCCAGAAGCAATAAGAGTAAGGGAGAAGGTGTAATAAATTTGAATTTCCTTACTCTCTTACTCTTGTACGTTACCATGGCAACCTGCAGGCAGACAGACAGGCTGCAGAGGTCTGAACGCTCCATTACGTGTCCAACATCGGCAGGTAACGCCTCTGGCTTGGGCTTAGTACTGAAAATCAGTAATGTAATAGTACGGATTTTCTGTTCCGACCAGTAGTAGACCAGTAATAAAGCATAATGCTGCGCTGGAGAAACATAACCCCTAAACATTCACTATATAATTTCGAAATCTAAAATTTGGAAAGAAAAATTAGAAATAGACAAATTAGGAAGTTGGAATTTTATTTTGAAATAAGAAATAAAATGTACTTTTAAGGATTTAGTCTGTAATTTGATATTAGTTAACAAGAATAATTATGTATTCACATGAACTTGAAATGTGTTAGAATAAATAGTTCTGTTTTACTTTTTTTCATACGAATTCGTGTTAATCCATTTATTTTGTAATTTGTATATTTATTAAATAATAATTTATCATAATATCTGGAAACGGTAATAGGTAGTAAAAATTTTCTACCGAATTAAATTTACAGATAACCTAAATTCTAAACTATGATGGGATTAGAAAAACATTGACATATTTAAAGAATTGAATATAGAATGTTATTAAATAATAAATTAAAGTTATAGTAAAATTATTTCTATTTGATGTAATCATATCAACTTATCAACGGCTGTATTAGTAGTTTAAACTCAAAACAGTCATAATAGCAGCTGTTTCACTACCGCATTGCACGTACTGAGCCAGTAAAATTCCGGAGTTCCTAATAGTACAAGTTACACGGAAAATCAGTACTGTCAAACAGTATTATATTAGTAGTGGATCGGACGTTAACTACGGCTGTTTACGAAAATTTCTGCCTGGGATGTATTCCAGATTAAGAAAATATTTCGATTTTGGTTCTAGCTCAAACCGTTTTGCAGAAAACTTGCACGCCGATTTGCTACTCAAGAATGTGAAGTTCGCTTGTTGCTCCCTCTACATGAGATTATACAAAGTGTAATATTATATAAAAAACGAATTTTACAAGTTAACAGAATAATAAATTAATCCCTTTCAACCGATTCCTGTTTACTTTATTCCTTTTATGTAAAAGAAATTCATGAAAAAAAGGTTGAAATTGTGCTGCAAAGGTGTCACTTCCCCTTAATCCGATGGCTAGAACATTTTTGTTTAACTTTGTCGAAGAGTATTGAGGAATACTTGAAAATTTACCTTCTTAGATGATACTCATACAAACTCTGTGAAATTTATTGAGAAAGAGGCATTGTTCATAGCTATAGCGCATATTATACAATTTTTTGTAGCAAAATAAAGGTGGCACAAAAGTGCAGTTATACTGCTCCGATCTTTATAAAATTTTAGTATGATACTTCTGGATATGTATACTTTCGAAAAATGTAATAAATTAATCGATTTTTTAAATTGCGTAGACCCCTTAATAAATAAATTGTGACAATCCTCTTCAAAGTTCATGTTAAAGCAGCTATCAATAATTTCAAATTAATGTATAGTTTGATATGTAACTCTAGAGGAGTTTCAATTATTTTTTCAAACGTGAATTTTCCATAAGTACAAACAAAAATCTGATTTTTTATACAAATGTATATATATATATATATATGTATTTTCTTAATTTTAGGAGCAAATGTGCGAAGTTCTTGATGCAATGTTTGAAAAATCAGTCGAACCTGGAGAATTTATTATTCGTCAGGGAGATGGTGGAGATAATTTTTATGTCATAGAAAGGTATGTCATATTTTTTAAAATATCGTTGTTTCATTTTTCATAATGAAAGTTGTAATTTGCTTTTTCACATTCAAGCAGATGATGCTTGATGGAAATGAATTAATTAACTTTTTTGGACTGAGTCCTTATTTGTAATACTGACTGTATTGTTTTTTTAAACTCTATTTTTCACAGTGTTTCGTTACATAATCCTCTTGTTCATAAGAAACCGTTCCATAGTGCAACTTCAATCTTTTAGAGTAAATCCAGAATGTCAAGTTTAAATTAAGCCGACGCACAGTGTGGCCAAAGACACTTTTTTGGAGAAAACTCTGCCGACAACTCATATGTTGATTTCTGCTCAGGGCCTAACTACCAAAAAATTTCAATTCTCAAAAACTTACCTAAAAATCGCCATTAACATTAAAAAATTTTTTTTTAAATTAAGTTTGATGATTAAAATTAATATTTTAATTTGTCTGAATTAAACATTTTAATAACTTGTAGGTGTTCTTTCCAAATCCTTTCTGAAGTTTTGTAAAAAGCTATAAAATTGACGCAATGGAAGATTATTTTCTAAAAGTATAAATAATGTCAGTTTTCTCAAAAACCCCACTTTTTTCTCTAATTTTTACCATAAATTCTCATCAATATGAAGAACAAATCCTATAATTTTCAAGCGGGCTGAACCATTCTTCCATCCAAGAGAATTTTTTTCGGAATATTTCTTTTTATAAAATTTGAAATTATTGACGTGCATTTCGAAGAACAAATGAACAAACTGAAGTAAGTTTTGATTATTGGTTATAACCAATAATAATGAAAGCATGGAAAGTAACCGCAAAATTCTGAAATGACGCTTTAAAAATTCTGTTTGTCAAATTCCATTCACTCAAGACAATAATTGTTGGTTATAAACAATACATAAAATGTACAATTTTAAATGTATTGATATTGGTTATAAAATGACTTACTTCAGTTTGTTCATTTGTTCTTCAAATTGCACGTCAACAATTTCAAATTTTGTAAAAAGAAATATTTTGAAAAAGAATCTCCTGGATGATTTAGCCCGCTTGAAAATTATAGGATTTGTTCTTCTATTGATGAGAATTTATGGTAAAAATTAGAGAGAAAAAAGTGGGGTTTTTGAGAAAACTGACATTATTTATTTTTCGAAAACGATAGTTTACGATTTCGTTGATTTTATAGCTTTTTACAAATTTCAAAAAGGATTTTGTAAGATCACCTATATAAGTATCAAGAAAAAAATTTGATTACACTCATTGGAAAAAAAGTACAAGCGAAACAATTTGCAGCACATTTTTGAGTCATGTTGCGCGACTCAACCCTGTGTTCTGCTAGACACTTTTCTGGAGCGCGCAGCGTTCCCCTGAGTCGAGGCGAGCTCTATTTAAAGTGTATTACACACTCTTTGGAGAGCGCTGCACGCCCCAGAAAAGTGTAGAAGAATTCAGGGTTATGTCGCGCAACGTGACTTGAAAATGTGATGCAACGTGCCCTCTTTTTTCTCAGTGTAGAATAACATATTTTATTAGTAGGTGTATTAGTAGGTTGACCTCAAGACTATCATAATAGCAGCTTTGTCACGAACGCATTGGACGTTAACTACGGCTGTTTACGAAAATTTCTGCCTGGGATATTATAATTAGCAAATTGAAATACTCTTTGAAATTGAAGATTTATTTACTTTATTGATTGAGTAATTCGAATAAATTCGAAATTTTCTACTTATTAATAGTTTTTTTAGTAATTTAAAAGCTCGAATCCATTCGAGTACTCGAATTCACTCGAGTGCTCGAATTTAATCGAGTACTCAAATTTACCCAGTACTCGATACATCGAGCCATCTTGGGCTCGGCTCGGCTATATGGTTTTCCATACGGTTTTCCATATGGTTTCTCATGTGGTTTCCCACGTGGTTGCCACATGGAAAACCATGTGGTCATTTTTACCCAGGTGCGATTTTTTGGTCGGCCCACAGTTGGGCCAACTTTTACAAAGTCGGTCCAACTTCTCGTGCCAGAGGTTGGGCCAACCATACAGATGATAACGGTTTGCCATCTAATGGTGACGATAGTTGGCCCGACAACTCATAAGGAAGTTGGCCCAACTTAAAATGCATATGTTGTGCCAACCATACATTTCAACGGTTGGTCCAAAGACTGATGCCAATGTTGGCACAACTTTAGATGCGTAAGTTGGGCCAACCACAATTTTCAAAGTTTGGCCAACTTCAACAGCCAAAGGTAAAAAATTATTAAAAAACTAAATTATTTAATCAATTAAAACGTTATTATTACAGGGTTGCTACGGTCATGGAAAACCTTGAAAACCTGGAATTGTCAGGGAATTTTTTCTTGGTCAGGGAAAACCTGGAAAAGTCAGGGAATTTTATAAAATATTTTTTCAAAAATTAATTTCCCGTATGTGAATCGCGAAAATTTCAAAGCACCAAGTTGGCAATACTGCCTTTCTTTTCTACTGATATAATTCAGTTTTGAATTTAGCGCTTAAAATTAAAGTCAAGATGGTGCTTCTAAATTGTAGTGTCTATTGGTTAAAAATTTTTCTTAGCGCGCATTACATTATGATAAAGCAATTACGTTTTTACGTATACTGAGATGAATCAACACCACATCAACACGGTCAATCCAGTGTTTAAATAATTTTCAGTGTTTTTATGTGTTCCCAATTTAAAAGAGGTAAGTGTTTTATAAGTACATAAATATATAATAAATATTTTTACTTTATTGTCTGAAAATGAAAGTTTTTATTTTCTTGGCATCAGAAATATTATAATGCGACATTTAAGGTTATGTAACAAAGTGAACATGAGGTTTTGTTTTTATAATTCGTGAATGCTTTTAGCATTTAAGATTTATTGATTCTAGATTTGTATTGAATGCCATAAAAATACTTTTTGTTAAAAAATTATGAATTTGTACAAGCTTTGAATTCTTTTAAAATGCAAACATTTTCTTCCTTTACATAAAGAAGTGTAATAAAATTTTTATTGATACTAAATTCGCAAAAACTGATTAACTATCAATATTAATTTGATTTAATTTCGAAAGATCCAGTTGTAAATTTTTAAGAAAGAAATATGTTTTGAGTTAAAATTTCTGGTTAAATAATAGTTTACATTTTCTATTTTTGCTTAAAAGTTACCTATGAACCGTCATTTTTATCCAATTTTTTAAACAATAGCTCTTTTTGTTTTTTGAATACAATTTTGTTTTTTTATTTTATTGATAAATATTTTGTTTATAAAATATAAAAAACAAATATTATATTTTTAAAATAATTTTGAAGAAAATTATTTTTTAAAAATTCGACAACAAAAAAATTATCTGTTAAAATCTACTTTTCAGTTTGTGATTAATGGGTTTAGTTTAGTTCTTTTAACTAATTTGATAGACAACCTAAATTTTGTTTAATATTTCTTTTAACATAATTATTATTAGTTTATTCTGTGCATAGACTGTGATGCCATCTACAAAAAAAACGTCATTCCAAGATGACTGGTTGTCAAACCCGAATTACGAAATGTACATTCGACGAGCTACTGATAGTAACCACAAAGCTTCATGTATTCTTTGCCACTCCAGCTTCAGCCTCAGCAATATGGGGAAAAAAGCATTAGATAGCCATATATCGGGAAAAAAAACACCAGAAAGCGGTACAAGTGAAAAACAGTAGTCATAACATCCGTTTGTTTGGAGCTGTGGAATCAAATGCACCATCTGATAATAACCAGCAACAGGTATTATGAACAAAATTACTGGATTAAATTACTGTTAACATTAAACTCAATTTAAATAAGCGTTTTTATTGTTAAAAAATGTTTTTATTTTGAGTATTCCTTTTTTTTATCACAGAATCTTGTCGATATTCAAAACAATGGAGGTACGAACAAGGATCCGAATATTTCTAAGGCAGTAGCGAGTAACATAGATGGAAGAGCACCTGCTAAATCGAACGACATATCACAGTACCTGAATAAACAATATGTTATCAAAGCTGAAATTATGTGGACAATGGCCAGTGTTATGTACCATATGCCCATGTCAACTGCCGGAAAATGTACTGAACTTTTTCCTGTCATGTTTCCAAACAGTCCAGAGGCTGCTGGAATGCAGTTAGGTCGAGCAAAAATGTCGTACGTGATTTCTCATGGTTTAGCACCATATTTCTTGGACAACCTTTTAATCAAGGCCAGCGAGAGTGACGCAATAGTCATATATTTTGACGAAAGTTTTAACAAAAGTATTAAATCTACCCAAATGGATTTCGCTATAGGCTTCTGGGATAAGAAACAAATCAGACTTCTATTAGATACTACACGTCATCGTTTCTCGGTCACTGCACAGCTGTTGATCTCTTGAATGCTTTTAAGTCTACGCTCGTACCTTTCATGCTATTGAAACTTTTGAATATTTCCATTGATGGTCCCAATGTGAACCTAAAATTTGTAAATGATCTGAAAATCGATTTAAATTTTGAAAAAAATCCGGAATCCCTTCAATTTCTCTTCATGGGAACTTGCGGTCTACATACGTGTAATAATGCTTTCAAAGAAGGTGCCAAAGCTACAAAATGGGGGATTGCTGAATTTCTAAGAGCAGTGTTTTATATATTTAAGGATTCCTCTGCGAGAAGAGACGATTACACCAAATATTCAGGTTCTGAAGAGTTTGGTCTCAAATTATGTCCCGTTAGATGGCTCTGCAATAGAGAGGCTGCTGAAAGAGCACTGAAAATTCTTCCTAATTTGAAAAAATATGTGGAATGAGTTTCTAAAAGCAACAAGGACAAGAGTATTAAGGCTGGGAGTTACCAGACTTTAAAAAATTGTCTAGAGGACAAACTGCTTGCCGCCAAGCTTGCTTTTTTTGGCTATGTAGCTTCAACTTTGGAACCATTTTTAACGGAATTTCAAACGGAAGCACCTATGGCCCCCTTGCTTTTTTCGTCGCTTCATGGAGTAGTTTTGGATTTAA